GTATGCAGTCACTTTTGAGAGAGATCAGGCTGGGATTGTTTTCCCTTCCTTGATCTCTTTTATACTGTGTCATTAGACGTTACTCCATATATTCTCCATCTAAACTTTTAATGAATTGTGTTTTTAATGATGTGCACATTTTAAAAAGGAGCATTACAATTACAAACAAAAAGTACTGTTTACATATACTGTTCATCTTCTTTGTAAAGTGTAGAGGTTTAAAAAGAGACTTTCCAGTGATTACAGTATTAAGGTTTCATAAATAAATAATAATAAAAAAAACTTGATTTGAGGTGCTGTAATTATTCATGAACTGGTCAAAACAATGGCTCATGCTTGCCGCCTGCTCTGAGGTGTAATCTGCCATTGCTTTCTGAGCCAATAAATTAATTTAAATGCCATAGTTGAATGTTATTCCAAGTCTCCTCGTGTTTTATTATTATTGCTGTGATCGGTGTCCTTGTTTCATGTTTTTGTCTTTCTCTCCATCAGTGTTATGCTTTTGTGGGAGAGGCTGATTTTTGCCACGGTAATGGCGAGGATAATTGCACCTTGCAGTAAGTAATCAGCAAAGCCTGTTGAAGAGCAGGGCTGGATTGCCAAAGGCTCCTCACGTCCTCCTGCTGATCTGCCTCTGATTGTGACGTTAACCCTCCCGTGACTGTGGCCTCGTGCCGCTGAATCCCATCTAATGTCAATGTGGCAGTAGCATCCAATGATATAGCTGAATTTGCAGAATTAAGTCACTTTTATATGCTGTGAAAAGCTTCTTCTCTTTGTGGAAATGCTAATATTAACCCAAAATGGAAAAGAATGTAAAGGGCATATCTTACCTGCAGCGGCCTATTCTGCTGCCCAAGCTAGGAAAGTCAAATAACCTTGCTGGATTTTCATGTATGTGGTAGAAGACATTTCTGATATATCAGCGAGCAAATGTCAATGGTGTTATTATCTGCCTCAGACTATTGGAAATGGACATGTAGAAGACTTGGGAGTGCACAGACCCAGACTGAAGTGGAGTGTCCTCTGCTCGGGATCTTGGGTTGAACAATGCATTAGGGAATTTTTAGTGCACTTGAAATAAACATGTTATAGAACAAGTAGTGGGAGCAAAGGGCTTAGAGCTCTTCCCAGGAGTGCTGGCTGTTGTAAATGCCATCAGAATCCTGTGCAGATGTCAGTAGACAGCTCTCCACTATTTGCACTAATCACAGAAAAGAACCAGGATAGAAATTAGATAAAGAACCAATGCCATAAAAATACACCCCATCTCTTCCTACTTCCATAATTCTTACAACTCAATAATATTGAGAACAATTTTTAGAACTATATCTTTATCATTATCTTTATGGTTATCGTCCTTGGTGTGAATGGGCCTTTACTGTATCTTACCCTACTAATTTTGCAGTATCAATGTGCATTTTGCTCCGCACTAGCAGTGTTATTTATTTTAGTTATTTTTTTCTTTTGGTAAAAATTAAATTTTTTCAATATTTTGTCACGTCATATTTATTCATTTTAGTCAGTTTTACTATTTGGCTATTGTCCAAGCAAACCAAATTATTACAAATATTTTATATATTAATTTAAATGTATAAACTTTTACCAAAAAATTTGAAAATTGTCCTTGTGTAAACCTGAGCTCCTGATAAAACATTGAGTGTTGCATTAAATGTTGTGAAACCTTTATGCTGTAGTTATTTATTGTCTGTTTTTAGACATTCTATTACATTCCATTCTATTACGTTCACCTTATTAATCTCGTATGAAAAGTGCTTTAGTTCATTCACTGTTCCTTCAACTCATGCAGGCCAATCAGTGACATATTTGACAGTTGATATTTATAACCATTTTTGTTTATTGTTAATGTTTTGCAGTTTTTAGACTACCTCCTTTGATCATTTTGGTCATGAATTTTGTTGCCGGTATTAACATTGTGCACTAGGTTTCATTTTAGACTAATACTAGACAGCTCTTTATTGCTTTAGGCATAGTCAGGCTTGAACACTGGACTTGTTTTCTAAGCTTCTTGCTCTAATAATGGGCACATACGCAACACGTGCCCTTTCCTGCAGGCCTCTTTGGTAAGAAAGAAAGAACATTAAATGCACTGCAAATGTAACACTCTTGTGACATGTTACCTAATATGCATTGGAACATTACTTTCAAGACAGAAATATCTCTAATTCAGTGCAAGCAAGGAGAAAACACTTGCATTTGCAACAAATTCATCCTGCAGCTCAATGGAAGATCCTTTCTTTTCTATATGAAAATGGAAAACAGCTAATTTAGTGAGGTGTGTGTGGGGGTGTGTGCACAATGCAATTAGACTACTGGAGATAGGGAAACACCTCTGTGCATTTCTTGCATCTCTCACTAGTCTAAATAATTAATCTAGCCTGGAGTGAGTGGGTTTCTGATACTGACAATTTGTGCTGATGCCGCTATGCACCAATGTCCATTATGACTGTATATGTGTGTACACATGCCTCTTTGAGTGAGTAGTTGGCTGAATACATTTGTGATTCAGACATGATGAACAATTACTCCTCCCTAATGGCTTTTGATGGTATTGATTTCAGAGAAGCAAGCATTTGTACTAATGCCTATTTGGAGCATCCGTATTTTGAATCACAGCATGGGGTAAGTTTATCGTATTATAGCTTGAAACAACCAATTTTTTAGCCTCAAATTATATACTTGTGTGTACTTGTGTAAGTAAAGCTGTGCTCAGTGGTGCCATGTTTATACATCCTGAATAAAACACTGCAGGACAGAGAGACCCAAAAATAGTGTATGAGCTGTGTTAACACCTAGGGCTCAGGAAGGGGCTGCTTAGAGTATGCGATAAAGGACACTTCCTGGCACTGATAAATAGCCCTTTCCTGACTGTTCTCTACATAGTAAAGTACTTGCTATTTGATCAAGGGTTGATAACAAACACCCTCGCTTGAAATATGCAGACTGTAAATGCAATGTTCTTGAGCAACACTGTCTCTTTATATATATATATATATACAAATGACTGCAATATAACAAAGAGTGAAAAATTTAAGGGGGTCTGAATACTTTCCGTACCCACTGTATATATATATATATACACACACACCCACAGATATTCACATATCAGTTGTTTCAGTTATGTGTACTGGTAGCTTCATCTGTGTAATATCTTAAAAGTTGCAAGGTGCACTTTATCTTTCTATAAATCACTACTTATTGCATCATCTTTTATCAGAAGTTGAAGAAAATGACTCCCAGAACTCCATCAGGATTTCCCGTGGGTATGTTTCATCTCAGTTGTGCCAGAAGGCCAATTAAGAGCCAGTGGGGAAAAAAAAGAGAAGGGGGGTTTGGGTGTGAGAGTATGTGTGCATATGTATGGGATAGAAGAGGGGATGCTGCAGACAAATGAAGTAGCAGACTGCATGAGTGGACCTGCAGGCTTCCTTCCTCAAGAACAGGAGACAAAAGATGCACTGTGTTCTCTGTGAGGTCTCTGTGGTCCAGATGCGTGACATTCTGTTGTGGATGAATTAACTGTGTACTTGCCGTGCACATTTCTCCCCATTTTCTGAATCCATCTAATCCATGTCTTATCCATGTAGTGTTATTAAATACCTATTTTGCAATATGCAAATTTGATGGCTACATATAAACACTTTTTCAGGCAATATCTCCCAGATGCGTGATGTATTCTTCCTCTCTTGTTTTAAAGGGATCATATTTTGAGGAATCAGATTTCCCTTGATCTTTTCAGATAAAAGAGCTGGATGTACTATAAAAACTCTAACTTTCAGAACTCAAAATGTTCTACTTTCTAGTCCCAGTCTAAAAAGCATTTATATAGACTTTTCAGCTTGATTAAAGTGACGTAAGATGGCGTCTCCCTAGGAATCTTGAACCAGCTCAGTTGTGGTCAAGCATTTCTCACCTGACAACTGTTCTTGATGTAATCTTGCCCTCCTCAGTCAGGTCTGTCACACTCACTGATTAAGAATGACAAAATAAACGGCCTCTTTTTTTTTTCTTCCCTCTGATTCCAGGTCCTGTGGAAAAACATCATTTTCCATTGATGGCCATTCAAGATTAGTTGTGTATTCTGATAGATTTTCTTTAAAGAAACATATAAATAAAATGAAATATTACAAATATTTCATTACATAATACCAGACAATTTAGCAGTGCATGGTTTTTACAGAAGGGCTTTTAAAAGCATAAAATGGACTTGCTGTATATTTTCTGTCTGCTTCATTTGACATTACTGTAGTTGCTAGTGATGGGCACGTTCTTGCAGTGACATCTAATCAGATTTGCATGACTTCTCCTGTGGCTCCAGAATTAGTTGGCTCTCTCCGGGGACAATAATCCTATTATTCCTAAACGACTAGAAATATGTGACAACGTATGTCAAACTTGGTTGTTTTGGTTATTTCTGAGGCTGTTTGTTATCTTCTGAAGATACCCTGATCTTTTCAATCTGACAGCGGCACATTTTTTGCGAAATGTCACGTGTTGGAGGCTGTGCAAAGAGGCTGTTCTTCAAAGCTCACTGTTCACAGCGTGTGTGTGTGTGTGTGTGTGTGAGAGAGAGAGAGCACCACAGTGAACTGCTCTGTTGCTCATTTCACATGTTTTTAGCACAAGAAATTACTAACGTTTATATGGTCCACTTATAATCTAGTAAAAACAAAGTGTGTTCATGTATTACAGCTCCTTCTTATTGGATCCAGCAGTTCATAATTTTTTTCTTAAACCCTAATCCTGACGCCCCACAGTTTTTCTAATTAATTTTAATGTAGCAAGAAGTTCTGAGAGAAAACGGAGATTAGAGGTGAATTATTCCATTAAATGTTTGTAATCACATGACAGAAATTCAAATTGGTATGCCAGCAAAAGCGTTTTCTCTTAATAAACCAATACATGTTTCAAAATTGCTTGCCAGGAACTACAGAGGGAGACACTCCACCCCCAACCCCCCACCCTCTTTTATTTGGAATCCAGTGTGCGCAAGAGACGGAGAGAGTGGAAGGAGCTCACTGCCTTCCACAGCTGCACAGATCCTTGGAGTCTCTTCATCATCCCCCCCACCAACACCCCATCATCATCATCACAGTCTTTTCAAGCCAGTTAGATCATGAACCTGCTCTTTTCTGGTTGCTAAGGAGGGGAAATCGAGCTCCGAGGAGTGGACGAGGCGGTACTTACTAAGGTAACGCGTTCTTCCAGTCATCAGTTGTTTGTGTGTGACTGTGTGTCACTGTAAACTTGTTCCAATGTTCGCTGACGCTGAATGATCAATTGTCATGTGCAGCGCTGGATTCAAGCGTCTCCCGAGGTGCTGGTGAGTTTGAAGTGAATCATCCTGTCGCCTCGCGCTCCCTGCTGTGCGCGCGCGCGCGCTGAGAGAGCGAACGAGCGAGCTTGTATTAAGGCTGGCGCGTGTCTTTCAGTGAGTGACAGGGTTTTTCTGCCTCCTATATTCGGCATCGCTCTGTGGAGTGCTCTGTGAATTGGGACCGGTGTTCCTGTGGGTATTGCGCTCTGAAAGCAGCTGTTTGTCTTTTTTAAATAGCTGCATATATTTGTAGTGCAATGTGGCTCTGGGAAATCGTGCCCACGCTCAAATTAATAACATTTCTACCTTTAGGTTCGCTGGTGTTCATCACAAACAGCTGTGGTCAGCGCGCGCTCCTCATGTGGCCAGTGTGGAAGAGCATAACCGATTCAGAGTTACTGAAAATAAGTCCACAAATGGTTTGAGGAGACCGAGAGCAGATGAGTGTTTTCTGTCTTTTCTAGCGCACCCGTGCAGGTGACTGACACACAGCATACAGCGAAGTGAAGTGCAGCCTGTGCTGAAGACCAAATGCATGGAGTCTTTCTTTCTCTGTTCTTTTTGTAGTAACAAAGATACTTTCCACTATTTTTAAGATACAGACGGTTGTGTCCGCTACAAGACACCTTAAAATAAAAATATTTAAATAGTTTAATCGTAATGTTTAGGGATGGTTCTAGCGCCGTTTGGTTTTTTATAGAGTATGCGTGTATTAGTAGTGTTTTATATTTGATTATGTAAAGTAAAACATAATGTTATAAAATAGTGTTAAGACTCAAAAACCTCTCTGTTGTTCCAGTTGAGACGGTTTAATTCCTGTAGTGTATACTAATTAACAAGAGTTTTGGTCGATGTTTTTGCACTTAAAGGGCTATTGCTGTATTACTTTAGAGAGGAACACATATGTTAGCTATAGAGAAAGATGTGTATGTCAACATACCTTATGTGAAACTGAAAACTGATCTATTGTCTTCTCTGCTGACTCCAATTATGAGTCGTCGATAAATCGCTTTCTGAGCAATAGACCCGTGGAAAGCTGAAACCCTCGGCGTTCATAACCTTTAACAACAAGTGAACTTACAGAGTTACGGTAGCTAATTAGAGGTTGCCATAACCAAATAGATTTCCTAGGTATAATTTGGTTATTCCAGCACCAACGTTTTTCTGTCATTCAAGTAAATATGATTTCTGACAGCTGCTGTTCGTTAGAAAGGGCGCGAATCGCGAGATCTCACCCGAGCATTTCTCCAAACTCTAAACTGAGGAAAAATTAAACTGAATTAACCTTTTCTTTCTAGACCTTTTTCTCTGTATACTGGGTACCTTTTTATTGCAAATAAACATTTTAATCATAGAAAGTAGTTTTTAAGATGTCCACAAAAAAGTCATAATTTACTCACTCAAATGCTGCTCCAATTATTAATTAATTTATTTTTCACAAAAGGAGATGGATGAAAGAATGGAGATTAGTTGTAACCCAAGTGACATGCACTGTGTAGGCTACTCAACTATCTAGTGTATGAGCTTTAAAAGGTTAATTTTGTCATCCAGCAATGAAGTGTTAGACTCTTCCCTTTGACTGAAATAAGTGCATTATCCAGGTATTTAAAGTAGCCTACACGTTTTCTTGTTGAAATTTGCAGCGTGAACACTACTCTCATTAAACAGGCCTACTACAAAAAGACTTAGAATAGTAGGCTACATGTACACAAGTTGGTGATTTACCTTATGAGTGTGAAGTTCTATATTCTATAATGGTGGTTCACATGAATCGCCTGATAGTATATTCTTTTTCAGTTCTTATAAATGTCCAGATGCTTTTTTCACACTATAGTGAAATATTCAATTCATTGTCTGGGTGGCACACTGGAATCTATTCTGTTTGACTGATCTATTTTCTGTTCTGTCTTTTCCCCACAGAGACAGAAATAGAGATCAAGAGACCAAGCATGGCCCAGGCCTCTCAGGACCAAGGTGCAGTGGGCGTGGCCGACCCAGATGAGGACTCACCCAACATGATTGCTTACAGGAAGGTACTGCTGCATTGCCTTTCAATTTTATATGCTTTGGATTTGTAATCTTTAAAGTCTTGTCAGCAAGTTAATGCTTGAAAGCGAAAGGAATTTGGTCAGCAAATATATATACAATGAGGTAGGGCAGACACACAGAGTCATGAATATTGCTCTGCACTGGATTTGAATTTAAATTAGTTTATTTGTCTGTTTGCTGGTGCATTGTCATCCCTTGATATTTATTCAGTTTCTTTGTGTATAGAATATTTAATTTCTTTCCTGACCCTTATGGTCACTGTGAGTAAAGAGAAGTTGCCTTTGGATTCTGTTTCTTATAACAGTTCCCAGTGCAGCTTTATATAGTGAGATATGTGGAATTGTTTGACTGCCTCTGCAGAAACTTATCTGCCAATTTCCCCCAAAACAGCAATTAGAATGGGAAGCTGTTCTTCCAACATAAGCCCAGGTGAAAGTCGTCAATGAGTCTTTTCTTCCATCTCTGGCATGTGCAATCTGAAATAAATTATTTATATATATATATATACACACACACACACTCAAGTTTGTTTTTGTGAAAAGTGGGGACATCCCATAGGCGTAATGGTTTTTATACTGTACAGACCGTATATTCTATTGCCCTTCACCAACCCTACCCCTAAACCTACCCCTCACAGGAAACATTGTGCTATTTCAGATTTTCAATACACTCCATTCTGTGTGATTTATATGCGTTTTGAAAAGTGGGGACATGGGGTAATGTCCTGAAAACTCACCTTCTCCTTGTAATACCTATGTCATACCCTTGTCATTATACAGATTTATGTTCTCATTTGTCACAAACACGCACACACACACACACACCGCTGTTCAGAGGTTTGTGATCAGCAAAACTTTGGAAAGAAATTAGTGCTTTTATTAAGCAAGGATACTTTAAATTCATCAAAAGTGATAGTAACATATCATAACCAGAACACATAACCAATAGCGAATGGATAAATTAGCCAGATAGTATTGGTGTCTGGGGCATCTATATCAAGTGGAGTTTTCCAGCAGAAGACAACCGACAAATATTGTACACAAGATTTATGTCTCACTTTCATGTTTACAGCTAAGAAAGGCTCAGGCAATTTTCCTGGCCGATCATCTCAGGAAAACATAGCTGACTAGGGAACCGCTGAAGCTTTATTCATTTAGTTTTAAGGGAACTGAGCCGATGATTTGCAGGTAGCCAGAGATATGACCTGTGTGACTGTCTGAACTAAGTGCATTTTATCACCGTGCATTTTGACACATTACCTGTCAGTAATTATATACCACTGTTCACTTAGCTTTAAAAAAAAAAAAAAAAAAAAAAAATATGGTAGCTATATTATATTATACAAGCAAAAAGGTTTTTTTATATAAATATTTTGAACATTAATAGGCCAATTTTACAATCCAAAAGACATTCATCAGACTTATTGTGATAAATATGCCTTTAATATGTTATATGTGAATGAAAGTAAATTATTTTCCATTTAGCAGACACTTTTATTATTCAGAGTGATTAATTGCATTGTACAAGAGACTGTCCCTGGAGCAATCTGGAGTTTAGTGTCCAGGTTAAGAGCCCAGTGATCACAGAACAGTGCAGGGATTTCACCAACTCAATTTTCTGGGTCAGACCTCTTTTGGATTAAACCTGCAACCTTTGTGATAGCAAATTAGACGACCACCATTTCAAATTTGCATGTGGTTTTCCGTTACTGTGTCCTGTTTAGAGACCATGACAAAAACATGCTGACTATTGCTAGATCTAATCAAGAGGCAACAAAGCAAATCTTTCCCAAATGATCTTTTTTTAATTACAGGTATAAAGGATGAACCAGGTGGGCAGAAATATACTTTGGAGGCTCTTGAAGCTAATTATATCAGTGGAGCCTATTATCATACCGTATTCAGCTGTAATTAATTACTGTCATCCATAGTCTGCGCTACAATGGCCATTTTTGGCTCAGGGCCCCTCGAAGAGAAACAACCGTAGTGAAAAATGTCTCTCTCCATATTTTATTTGGCATGAAAATGAAGTGAGGGCAATGATAAACAAAGGGTGTGGAGATGCTGAAGAAGAGCGTTCTTGTGCTGTAGTTGATAGATGAAGTGAGACGGCTTATTATAAAACAGCAGTAACTTGATGTGCTCCTCATTACCACTTCACACAAGCAGACAGAAAGGACTGGTGCCCCATTATTGCTTTGTTCTTGTGTTTTTGCATGTGTATGTAAGCAGGTTTATCCTCATGTGTTTGTGTGAACTCTGACAGCTTGGTTAATTATTTCTTTCAAGCTCTGTTGAACTTATTCGGACAAGTATTTCTTTGGGCAGATTTCTTATTTGTGTTATTCTCTACACTTAACCAATTAGTTTATGACAGATAAAATAGTTCAACATCCTTCAAATGAACAGCATTTTGCCTCTGCACATAAAATAAAATGCCAAATCTGCAAATTTTGTTTGGTGCTTTACACAATCAATTCATTTTTCCCTATTTATCCTCAGATGCTGCCTCCAGCTAAAGGCTCCTACCTGGCTTTTGGGACTAGCAAGCACATGCATGAGTTTGATATTGAAACAGAATGCTGAATTTGTACAGAATTTGTTGTAAGGACTTTGGGGAAGTGGCAGGGATTTGGATCTGCTTTCAAATGTTCCCCTGCATTATTTGAGGAGAGTTCAAGGGGGTCGCTGATAGGGATGCAACGATTATAGATTTTGTTGGTACGATTATTGTCTGAGAAATAATCACGATTTCACGATTATTATGCATTTTTTCATTTCACAAAATTATTATTGTATAAAATCACATGAACACTCTTTAGATCATAAAGTGTTATTTATTGCTGCCTTTAGAAACAGAAATAACACAGTAACCAATAATACAGCACAAAATAATAATAAAGACAAACAAATGTCTATCTCTCCAATTGGAATTAAAAAGGTGACCTCCCCATTGATAAACCATATCAGTATTTCCCTTTTGAAAATAACTAATGAAAATAGATCACAAAAGTATTTAGTATTTTCAGTTTGTACATTCTTTACATTTCTTTTGGACCTGAGGCAGAAAACTGGAAACATGGTGAAGAAAAAAAAATCCTGTTGGTTTTTGGCTTATGCATAATAGGCTACTATAAAAGGGATAATACAGTATACAGGGGAAACTATTAATAATCAGGGGAATAAACTAAACCATCATTGTAATCATAAACACATTGTAACTGTCATCCATACATATTAATTTGAATATTTTTTATAATAATTCATATGATTTTACATGTGGCCTGAGAAAATCATGTCTGTTATTTTGGTTTGTGAGATCGGAGATCGACACATACAAACATTCAGGAGGACACAAACTTGTTGTGAACCCTGCCCCGTGACTTTTATTAATAAAATAGCTTAGATACTGAATTGCTACATATTCATCAGCAAGGAGAGGGTAAAATCACTGTTTAAGTAACTAAACTCACATGTTTGTAGAGAGACGCGCTGACGCAGGTTCACACACACACACTTCTCGCTCCCTCTCTCTCGATCGAATAATTAATTCAAGTAGCTAAATGTTATAATTAATTAATTCAAATAAATGTGATCTTACCACACTATTTCATCTGTCTCAGCGGAGAGATCAAAACAAAACAACGGTCACTTATTAGAAGTACAAAACGAGGATTTGTAAAGAAGAATGTCAGAGGATTTCGATATAAGCCAAGAGGAGACTGGTTTTCCTTTGCTAAAGTAAGGAAACTTTGCTTCCTTTGCTCCTGTTAACAAACGTTCGTTTTCACAAAACTCACCGGCGCATGTGCAACGCTGAACTCATACGTCATCAGGCCGGAGCTGCTTCCATGTACAATTGTTGGCGCAAGCTACATTAAAGTGATTGAATATGGATATTTTTCTTACAAATCGCATCGATTCGCTACAGGAGGCCTTTGTTCACCCCCCGGAGCCGTGTGAGACCCTTTTTTTTTCTTTTTATTTAACTTCTTTTGGACTGATGCATGCAACACCCGCTGAGTGGCATTAAACAGCTTGAAAGATCAAAGACCATTTTTTATATAACTCCGACTGTATTCGTCTGAAAGAAGAAAGTCATATACACTTAGGATGACTTGAGGGTGAGTAATTTATGGGCTAATTTTCATTTTTGGGTGAACTAACCCTTTAAACTCTCGAGTAAGCAATTATACAGTTTCATTTGAGGTCAGAGGACGCTTTTGGGCGTGTTAGCTCCTGCCTCCATCCCCATGATGGCAATATATCAGGGCCATGGAAGTGCTGGCAATGTTTTTCTCATCTTTTGATTGTTTGTTTACACACAAAAAGTGCTGGGGCCTTGAAGTGCTGTCACGACATGAGTATGTATCCCAGCAGAACGCTCCAATATGAAGGACATTCAGGAGGAGGGGTGGAGCAAGCATCCTAAATCTGTTTTACAATTTATGCAGATCGGCTGGTATAGACGAGCTGCATTACTTTTTAATTTCTCATATGAATATTTATAGTATATCTGTTCAATTATTGAACCATATTAAAAGACAACCGCCTCTTTTACCTAATAGCTACTAAAAATAAAGGGATAGTTCACCCAAAAATTTAAATTCTGTCATTATTCACTCACCCTCATGTCATTCCAAGCCTGTTTTTGCAGGTTTGGAATGACATGAAAATATTTTGAAAATGGTGGTAACCAAACCGTTTTGGTTCCCATTGACTTCCATTATTTAAAAAAAAATACAGCTGAAGTCAATGAGAACCAAGACTGTTTGTCTACCAACATTCTTCAAAACGTATATATTTTTTGTGTTCCGCAGAAGAAAGAAAGTTTGGAACGACATAAGGGCAAGTAAATAATGACAGAATTTTCATATTTGATTATCCCTTTAATATCACAATGAAATTAGTATCAGCAACTTCAGTTGTTGTGGTGTTTAGGCTCAGAATAAGAAGAACAGATGCTAATATTGTTGTAGTATGCA